TGCCTCCGGAGAGGCAGCGAGGTGGTGCCCCGTGTGAGCAGGGCCGCCAGCCTCATGCCCCAGCCCCGCGGGGGAGCTGCAGCCTGCCCAGCCGAGGGGAGCATCCTCCCCTCCATCCTCGTGGTGTCAAGTCTCTTTAAAGGAACTCTCTGCTTGGAAACTGATTTTTAAAATCAGCCTGACATTGGAGATGACAAGCACACAGGCAGGACGGCTGCATTTGCCTGCCCGGCTCTGCCACGGCAGGTGCTAGGGAGACCCGCAGCACTGCTGGGTGCAGGGGAGACCCTGTCACATGGATCCAACGTGACATTTATGCCCAAGATCCCTGCCACACACTGCCGGGACAGCACAGGGAGGTGTGATGTGGCTATGTATGGTGCATGGGCTGTCCACATGACAGAGGGGTGCCAAGGGAGACCCCTGAGCTCAGGCAGTTGTTGCTGACAGCCCCAAACCAGGCACACATCTGGTTTGCTCACTGCCCCCTTCCCCTCACCTCTGGGTCATAAGATGGCCCCACACAGGACGGGGGCAGAGTGAAGACGCTTTCCAAGATAGAGAGAGAGGTGCTGGGCTCGATGCAAGCAGTTCCCCTTGCGGTACCCCAGCGATGCTCCTGACCCAGCAGCGCTGGGTGCCACATGATGCCCCAGATCGCGCCACCTTGGCTGCCCTTGTTTAGGCTGGGCACAGCCCTGCTTCTCCAAGAGCGTTTCCCTGCAGAGATGGGGCTGCCGCAAGCTCAGATTCAGTTGCTTTTGCAAGGTACATTTGACTCATTAATCCTGGTCTCCCAACAGCAGCAGCCAGGAGTGTTGCTGCTTCAGAGCTGCCTTTCCTCCTGAGACAGCTCCTGGCGCTCACAGCACATCTCTGCTCCCGGCCAGTGCAGAGCCTGCGTTGCCGAAGTCCAGTTTCCCCAGTGAGGGCGCCCACCCTGGCGTTGCTGCTTGCTGCCTGCAAGCAGAAAGGAGCCCGTGCTCAACCCAGGGCTCGCTCCTCCTTGCCTTGCCGTGCCGAGCGCCCCAGCCCTTGAGGCACTGATACACCCAAACCCTTTGGGTTGCTTTGCATTTCTTGTTTAAAACCCTGCTTTTGGTTGTTTACAGTTTTGCCAGATTTTGACCTTTCGGATGGGCATGTCATGTGCTGCAGGAATAAGTAATTACAGATCAGAATTACGTAGGGAGTGTTTCCCTGGGACAGCTCAGACATTTGGACATGCCTCTTGCTCTGAGCATGTTTAAAACTGCGAGCTGGGGACGGTGCAGAGCAGGGAGTTGATGCGTGCCATTCCCTCATGCTAGAGCTGTGCTTTTTTGCGCCCCCCAAATCTGTCCCAGTTTGGCCAAGCTGTGAATGCCTGGGGAAAGCCAAAGTTTTTGACTGTTTTGTGTTGTTTGTTTGCACGTGGCTCAGCGTTAGACAGCTAAATGCTGCCCAGGCTGCTCTGCCCCAAGCCATGCAAGACCCCGCTCCCTCCTCTGCCTGCAGGGCTGGCTCATCCTGGCTCCCCTCCAGCTCTGTGTGCCCTGAGCTGCCATGGGCTCTTGGCAGTGCTCAGAGATCTGGGACCTGTGTTCCTGTTTCGCAAGAGAAACCCCACAGGCCTCTGCCCAAGGAGGGGACAGTGAGAGTCAGGTCTGTGCAGAGGGGAGGTCACTGTGCAGCTCCTTTGGGATCCAGCAACAGCAAAAGTGCACGGGGTCTGTCTGCTTGTCCCTGAGCACAGAAAGGAGGTGGCATGGGACTGGCAATGACATTATCAGCTCTTAGTGGCTTCAGAGATAGGAGCTAGACTGATGCAAGAAGCTTAAAGGTTTCAAGTGGAGGGAGAAGAGAACCAAAAGGATAATGCAGGGGCTTCCCCAGCCTCGGTGGGGGTGGAGGTGGAGAAGCGTTGGCTGGACAGGGTGCCCAGCTCAGGGATCCTCTTGAAATGAGGGTGTGAGCCAGTCTACGGGTCAGCTGCCTTCCCGCCGTTGCCTTTGCATGGCAACGCTTGCGACGGTCGTGAGCGTGTGCAGGGGAGCAGGGGTGCTGATGCTGTGCCTGGCCCTTGTGCGAGCCCCGAGGCTTTGGCTCCCTCCAGCAGAGTGGTGGTGCAGCCATCACGCTGCGTGCTCTGCCCTCTCCTTTCCATGCGCTAGACTTAGTTATAGTGCCCAGAGCTCTCTAGCATCTCAGTGAGACAGTGCTGAGCACCTTCTCCAGGTCCATACATGTCACAAGGGTACTCTGTGTCCAGAGAAGGCCAGAGCATGCCTGGCCCCCCCGTTCAGATGCTGCAGCACTAGAGGAGGTGGCAAACGCACAGGTGGCTGCTCACAGAAAGCATGAGATGTGGGTTTCTGTAGTGTAGTGGTTATCACGTTCGCCTGACACGCGGAAGGTCCCTGGTTCGAAACCAGGCAGAAACACATTGCCTTTCCCCTTTTAAATCACAGCATCCTGCCACAAACCTGAGAAGGGAGGATTGCGCACTACAGGCTGCATGCAATGCAGAGCATCCTCTCGCCTGCCTCACTCTGGTCTTTCCAGCCTCTGCCGGGCATGCGGCAGAGTCAGATTTTCTCTGCTCCGCTGCCCACTCCACATAAGGCAAAACCAGGCAGTGAGATCGAGTGACAGCTCTGGGTAAATAAAAGCAGGTTGCATGACTTAAATCCCAGGTGTCCAGGCCTGCCCCACACTGGCTGCTTGGGCAGCTGCTGCCTGCTCTGCTGGGGCAGCCAAGGGCTTGCAGGAGGTGCAGGTGGAGAAGGGATAGCAAGGAGCAGGCAAGCAAAAGGAACCATGCTCCTGGAGAGAGGCCGTGAGGTCTCAGCTCTTCCTCGAGACACAAATGACCCAAAGCTCCCCATGACCAGTGGGGCTGACCCAGTGAGCAAGGAAGGACAGCCCAGACAGGCACTTTACAGGCACTTCCATAGCCAGAGCAGAGCTGGCTTCAAGTCTGAGCTTCTATTTGTATTATAAAGAGCAGTTAGACAGTTGGACAGGACTTTCCACCATGGCTTTGCTCAGCCTGGCTAGCCCGGCGGCTCTAGCACCCATCACACACGGTGCCGAGAGGCGGCGATGGACCGTGGCCCTGCAGAGCGGAGGATGCCTGCGGGGACGCCTGGAGCCGTCCCCCATCCCAGCACGTGGAGCCGGTCTCCGGCTCTGCCGAACGCTTTCCGCAGTGATCCAGGGAGGGAGTTTGCCAGGCTGGCAGGGACGAGATGCCACTGTCCGGGGCAGGCTGGGGACAGCCAGCACTGATAACGCCTGCGGGAGGCTTCGAAGACGCTGCTGCTGCGCTGGGGGAGGATGCGCCCCACCGGGAGGGTGTTGCAGCACCCTGAGGAGCCCTCCCTGCCCTCCCCAGCCCCGCGGGGAGGAGGCAGCCCAGCTCCGCGCAGCGGCCGAGCGCTGGTGCGGAGCGGCAGGCCTGGACGGCAGCGAGCGTGCAGGAGGCTCTGCAGGCCCTCCTAGCGCGCCAGATCAGAGCGCGAGAGGATGAAAGGGAGCCTGGAACTACCCATTACCCTCACTACAAAGGCCTCCGATAAAGTGCTTATGAGCGTGTCTGGGAGGAGCTGGGAATGTGTGAAAGAAAGCACCAGCGAGTCCGGACATGTGCCGAAGCCGGTGTCTGTGAGACGGGGAAAGATGTGGCCGGGTAGGGGTGAGCAGAGGAGCCCGTGGCAAAGGTACCGGGCAGAGGTGCAGCCTGGTCCATTGGTCATGCCGCGCAGCAGCCTGCAGGCGCGAGCTCAGCTCTTTTGGTCCCTCTGCCTAGGAGGATGGAGAGCAAGTTATCCCCAGGCAGGGATGGGTGCTGGCAGTGCCAGGGCTTGGGACACCCGCCACGAAGGGTCAGAGCGGTCTGTGCTGGGTGATGGGGGCAGGGTGCATGCAGCACCCTCTCCAGCCCAAGCTGGGACCATCCGTAGCCCCAGCCGAGCTGCTGGCCACCTGCGCTGGCTGCCACGCCATGGTCCTCTGCATCCCAGTGGGGATGATCCCAGCCGCAGGCCCCCC